GCCAGTACATGTCCAGGCCCGTCTGAAGTTTGCTAGAGTGCATTTGGATGATCCAGAAGAGGATTGGGAGAATGTCATATGGTCAGATGAAACCAAAATATAACTTTTTGGTAAAAACTAAACTCGTCGTGTTTGGAGGACAAAGAATGCTGAGTTGCATCCAAAGAACACCATACCTACTGTGAAGCATGGGGGTGGAAACATCATGCTTTGGGGCTGTTTTTCTGCAAAGGGACCAGGACGACTGATCCGTGTAAAGGAAAGAATGAATGGGGCCATGTATCATCAGATTTTGAGTGAAAGCCTCCTTCCATCAGCAAGGGCATTGAAGATGAAACGTGGCTGGGTCTTTCAGCATGACAATGATCCCAAACACACCGCCCGGGCAACGAAGGAGTGGCTTCGTAAGAAGCATTTCAAGGTCCTGGAGTGGCCTAGCCAGTCTCCAGATCTCAACCCCATAGAAAATCTTTGGAGGGAGTTGAAAGTCTGTGTTGCCCAGCGACAGCCCCAAAACATCACTGCTCTAGAGGAGATCTGCATGGATGAATGGGCCAAAATACCAGCAACAGTGTGTGAAAACCTTGTGAAGCCTTACAGAAAACGTTTGACCTGTGTCATTGCCAACAAAGGGTATATAACAAAGTATTGAGAAACTTTTGTTATTGACCAAATACTTATTTTCCACCATAATTTGAAAATAAATTCATTAAAAATCCTACAATGTGATTTTCTGGATTTTTTTTCTCATTTTGTCTGTCATAGTTGACGTGTACCTATGATGAAAATTACAGGCCTCTCTCATCTTTTTAAGTGGGAAAACTTGCACAATTGGTGGCTGACTAAATACTTTTTTTCCCCACTGTATGGTTTGGGAAATTATGTCCTTCGTGGCGTCAAGGTTACTAGCTGTAATTGTGTCTTAAAAGCACATTATCAATACATTTACAGTGCATTTAGAAAGTATTCAGACCCCTTGACTTTTTCCACATTTTCTTAAGTTACAGCCTTATACTAAAATTGATTAAATAAAAAATCCTCAAATCTACACACAATACCCCATAATGAAAAAGCGAAAACAGGTTTTTAGACATTTTTGCAAATGTTTAAAAAAATAAAAACAGGAATATCTTATTTACAGAAATATTCAGACCCTTTGCTATGAGACTCAAAATTGAGCTCAGGTGCATCCTTTTTCCATTGATCATCCCTGAGATGCTTCTACAACACGATTGGAGTCCACCTGTGGTAAATTCAATTGATTGGACATGATTTGGAAAGGCACATACCTGTCGATATAAGGTCCCACAATTGACAGTGCATGTCAGAGCAAAAGCCAAGCCATGATGTCGAAGGAATTGTCCGTAGAGCTCCGAGACAGGATTGTGTCGAGGCACAGATCTGGGGAAAGGTACCAAAAAATGTCTGCAGCATTGTAGGTCCCCAAGAACACAGTGGCCTCCATCATTCTTAAATGGAAGAAGTTTGAAAACACCAAGACTCTTCCTAGAGCTGGCTGCCTGGCCAAACTGAGGAATCGGAGAAGGGCCTTGGTCAGGGAGGTGACCAAGAACCCGATGGTCACTCTGACAGAACTCCAGAGTTCCTCTGTGGAGATGGGAGAACCTTCCAGAAGGATAACCATCTCTGCAGCACTCCACCAATCAGGCCTTTATGGTAGAATGGCCAGACGGAAGCCACTCCTCAGTAAAAGGCACGACAGCCCACTTGGAGTTTTCCAAAAGGCACCTAAAGGACTCTCAGACCATGAGAAACAAGATTCTCTGGTCTGATGAAACAAAGATTGAATTATTTGGCCTGAATGCCAAGCGTCACATCTGGACGAAACCTGGCACCATCCCTACGGTGAAGCATGGTGCTGGCAGAATCATGCTGTGGGGATGTTTTTCAGCAGCAGGGCTGGGAGACTAGTCAGGATCGAGGGAAAGATGAACGGAGCAAAGTACAGAGAGATCCTTGATGAAAACTTGCTCGAGTGCGCACAGGACCTCAGACTGGGGCGAAGGTTCACCATTCAACAGGACAACGACCCTAAGCACACAGCAAAGACAATGCAGGAGTGGCTTCGGGACAAGTCTCTGAATGTCCTTGAGTGGCCCAGGCAGAGCCCGGACTTGAACCCGATCGAACATCGGAGAGACCTGAAAATAGTTGTGCAGCGATGCTCCCCATCCAACCTGACAAGAGCTTGAGAGGCTCTGCAGAGAAGAAACGGGAGAAACTCCCCAAATACAGGTATGCCAAACTTGTAGCGTCATACCCAAGAAGACCTGAGGCTGTAATCGCTGCCAAAGGTGCTTCAACAAAGTACTGAGTAAAGGGTCTGAATACTTATGTAAATGTGATCGGTTTTTTTTTTTATACATTTGCAAAAATTTCGAAAAACCTGTTTTTGCTTTGTCACTATGGGGTATTGTGTGTAGATTGAGGATATACAGTCAGGGAAAAAAGTATTTGATCCCCTGCTGATTTTGTACGTTTTCCCACTGACAAAGACATGATCAGTCTATAATTTTAATGGTAGGTTTATTTGAACAGTGAGAGACAGAATAACAACAAAAAAATCCAGAAAAACGCATGTCAAAAATGTTAGAAATTGATTAGCATTTTAATGAGGGAAATAAGTATTTGACCCCTCTGCAAAACATGACTTAGTACTTGGTGGCAAAACCCTTGTTGGCAATCACAGAGGTCAGACGTTTCTTGTAGTTGGCCACCAGGTTTGCACACATCTCAGGAGGGATTTTGTCCCACTCCTCTTTGCAGATCTTCTCCAAGTCATTAAGGTTTCGAGCCTGACGTTTGGCAACTCGAACCTTCAGCTCCCTCCACAGATTTTCTATGGGATTAAGGTCTGGAGACTGACTAGGCCACTCCAGGACCTTAATGTGCTTCTTCTTGAGCCACACCTTTGTTGCCTTGGCCGTGTGTTTTGGGTCATTGTCATGCTGGAATACCCATCCACGACCCATTTTCAATGCCCTGGCTGAGGGAAGGAGGTTCTCACCCAAGATTTGACGGTACATGGCCCCGTCCATCGTCCCTTTGTTGCGGTGAAGTTGTCCTGTCCCCTTAGCAGAAAAACACCCCCAAAAGCATAATGTTTCCACCTCCATGTTTGACGGTGGGGATGGGGTTCTTGGGGTCATAGGCAGCATTCCTCCTCCTCCAAACACGGCGAGTTGAGTTGATGCCAAAGAGCTCCATTTTGGTTTCATCTGACCACAACACTTTCACCCAGTTCTCCTCTGAATCATTCAGACGTTCATTGGCAAACTTCAGACGGGCCTGTATATGTGCTTTCTTGAGCAGGGGGACCTTGCGGGCGCTGCAGGATTTCAGTCCTTCACAGCGTAGTGTGTTACCAATTGTTTTCTTGGTGACTATGGTCCCAGCTGCCTTGAGATCATTGACAAGATCCTCCCGTGTAGTTCTGGGCTGATTCCTCACTGTTCTCATGATCATTGCAACTCTACGAGGTGAGATCTTGCATGGAGCCCCAGGCCGAGGGAGATTGACAGTTATTTTGTGTTTCTTTCATTTGCAAATAATCACACCAACTGTTGTCACCTTCTCACCAAGCTGCTTGGCGATGGTCTTGTAGCCCATTCCAGCCTTGTGTAGGTCTACAATCTTGTCCCTGACATCCTTGGAGAGCTCTTTGGTCTTGGCCATGGTGGAGAGTTTGGAATCTGATTGATTTATTGCTTCTGTGGACAGGTGTCTTTTATACAGGTAACAAGCTGAGATTAGGAGCACTCCTTTTAAGAGTGTGCTCCTAATCTCAGCTCGTTACCTGTATAAAAGACACCTGGGAGCCAGAAATCTTTCTGATTGAGAGGGGGTCAAATACTTATTTCCCTCATTCAAATGCAAATCAATTTATAACATTTTTGACATGCGTTTTCCTGTATTTTTTTGTTGTTATTCTGTCTCTCACTGTTCAAATAAACCTACCTTTAAAATTATAGACTGATCATTTCTTTGTCAGTGGGCAAACGTACAAAATCAGCAGGGGATCAAATACTTTTTTCCCTCACTGTATATATATATATTTTAATCCATTTTAGATTAAGGCTGTAACTTAACAAAATGTGGAAAAAGTCAAGCGGTTTGAATACTTTCCAAATGCACTGTAAGTCAATACTATTTGACTATGACCATCTCCATCCAGCATAAAACACCAGGCAAATTGTTATTATTTCCCATTCATTTAATTTTCTTTAGACTCATACAATACATGTGACATAAATATACCTTTAAGGAGGAGACAACGGATTCTAACCCACACACACACACAGTCTCCGTCTCACACAACAGAAAAACAACAACATTGACAACATCAAAATATCCACAGAGAGAAGCTATAACATAAAATCAAATCTGAGAGGCAGGGAGAGAAAGAGGGTGTCAACCTCCTGAAATAAACAAGGTGCCTCTGTCCCGTTACCCCTGTGTACATTCTCATCTTTTTTAACGATCACTATTGGTGGTGGTAAGTCACACCTGGGAGATGAAGGTAACACTCCACGTGTTGTAGCTAGTAGTTAAGTACAAGTGTAGCACCTGATCCGGGTCCACTGATTATTGGCTGTAACCAGGGCTGTAGTTGTGTGCTCTTCATGGATGACAAGGGGGCTGAAGGGAGAGGAGGAGCACATCCATGCGATGGGGTCAGGGATGATGGGATTACTAATGGTAATAGACTCTCAAATGTGAGATTTAGTATCCATAAATTCAAGTTTAAACCAAAAAAAAGAAGAAAAAAAATCCAGTACTGCCTTGTACATGACAATGGTGTTTAAATAGAAAGAGCATGGTGGTAATAAAGGGGTTGAACATGGTGTTGGAATGTGGAGGAACAGACACTTAGGAATGACTGAGGTATGACTGTCACTGGCCTAAGGAGATATTCACAAACAGGGGCCACTGAGAGCACTGGGGGCTGGGGCTAGGAGGGGAGGGAGGTGGGCGAGAGCTCAGTCCTCCAGGGTACGGAAGGCGTTCTGCATGTCCTCCAGCAGCTGGGAGTACTCTGCTTTGATCTTGGCCTCGCCCTCCTTCACTGGGTCCTGAAACAACATAGTTACACAGAGACACTGAGGTTAGGAGACACAGAGGCACATTGACACTCCAAGACAAAGTCCCACATTGGATGTACAAAGACCAGAGGTGGTAGAGGGATTGAGGAAGTTGATTTTGAATGCAGATGAACATGGATAAAGGGGCTGAACAAGCATGTACCTTGAACTTCATAGAGCTGAGTCTGTAGAGGATCTCTCCCATGTGCTCCCGGATCATGGACCAGGTGATCTTGTTGTCACTCTGAGCAGTGGTCTCCACTGCATGTCGCGCCAAGTCGTAGAACGCAATCGTGTTGGAAAGGATGCCCACCGTTTTGTAGAAAGGGCAGAACCTTCGGGAAAAGGGCAGAAAAGTCAATAAATTAACCAATATGTGCTTAATAACCGATGATTAAGTCATTTTAGTATGTTTATGACACAGATGAATGTGTGCCAGTGTGTGCATTTACCTGTCATATGGAGTATAGCCATTCTGCTGCAGGAAGTCATCCTTGAGTAGTTTAGCAACCTCCAATGTGATCTTGTCGGTTTCAGCGAGAGATGCCTGTTGTTAAGATGACATGGGGGACAGCAATAAGTGCCTAGTGCGTGCATAAATGGCCATCATCAACCCATAACCTTAACTCTTCCGCGCACGGGTTCAGCCTCACCTTGCCTACAAGCTGTACAATCTCAGCCAGATCCTCCTCCTCCTGCAGGATCTCCTTGGTCTTGGTGCGAAGTGGCACAAACTCAGGGAAGTGCTTGTCATAGTACTCGTCCAGCGCCCGTGTGTACTTGCTGTAGCTGATCAGCCAGTTGACTGAGGGGAAATGCTTTCTCTGGGCCAGCTTCTTATCCAGACCCCAGAACACCTGAGAGAGAGAGAGAGGAGAAAGAAGAAAGAGAGAGAGAAGAAAGAGAGAAGAAAGAGAGAGAGGAAAGCGAGAGGAGACAGAGAGGAGAAAGCGAGAGAGAAGAAAGAGAGAGAGGAGAAAGGGAGAAGAAGAGAGAAGAAAGAGAGAGAAGAAAGAGAGAGAAGAGAAAGCGAGAGAGAGGAGAAAGCGAGAGAGAGAGAAATAGAGAGAGATAGCGATAGAGAATAAAAACAGTAATGAGGAGTAGGAAGAGTAAAGGTTTGAATTGTCCAAACTAAAATTGTAATATATACACAATTGAGGCATTACCTGTACAATACCCAGTGTAGCTGAAGTAACAGGATCAGAGAAGTCTCCACCAGGGGGAGACACACTAGGAGAAATAACACAAGGCCAAGGTATTCAGACAACAGTCTGCCATCACTGTATAATATGTTCCAAGGAGGATTACACTACATGGTCCAGGTATCTGGTGTTCCAGGACTGGTACAGGACAGAACCTGTCTGACCCTTAGTGCCAGGAGGCAGGGGTGGTGATAGAGGTTCCCCCTGCTGGTAGAATGTTGTAATACTCACGCTCCAACAATGCTGACGCTGCCCTCTCTCTCTGGGTTGCCCAGGCACTTAACCCTGCCAGCACGCTCATAGAAGGAGGCTAGTCTGGCTCCCAGGTAGGCAGGGTACCCGCTGTCTGTGCACAAACAGCACACAGAGTTGTGACTGGTTCAAAATGACAGACATGTTGCTGTAACAGTCTTAAAAATAAGATACTTGATTGCTATTGGCTTATTGTACTCACCAGCAGGCATCTCAGCCAATCGTCCTGAGATCTCCCTGAGAGCCTCGGCCCACCGGGAGGTGGAGTCGGCCATCATACTAACGTTGTAGCCCATGTCTCTGAAGTACTCAGACAGAGTGATTCCTGCAGTGGCACAAAGTAGATACAGTCAGAATCAGAGGCACAGAATTCCAGTCACCACAAGGTTATGAGAATGAATGGTGACTAATCCCCCCACATTCCAGATTTACAACTACCAACAACAACGATAATGATTCAAAACAGCCGACACCAGCTTTCTAGGTTTCCATCTGTAATGTGATCGGCTGGTACCTGTGTAAATGGAGGCCTCTCTAGCAGCGACAGGCATGTTGGAAGTGTTGGCCACTAGCGCTGTTCTCTTCATGATACTTTCAACCTTTCCATCCACTTCCATTGTAAGCTATGGTGCAGGGAGCAATACCATTTGTCAGACTGAAAACACATCACAAACTGGTGATCGGCTATGCCAGACACCCAAGTAGAATAATTCACTGATCTCATGAACATGTTGTCAATGATTTGGAACTTGACACACAGACTGTCACTAACCTCAGGAAAATCTCTCAACACTTCAGACATCTCATTTCCACGCTCTCCACAGCCCACATAGATGATGACATCACTGTTGGAATACTTGGACAGCGACTGTGAGATCACAGTCTTGCCACAACCGAAGGCTCCTGGGATAGCAGTAGTACCACCCTGGACACACCTGTGAGCACAGACAAACACAGAGCCAGAAGCAGGTGACTTGTCAGAGGCCTCAGTCTAAGTAAGGGTCAGGATGAAAGGATATAAAGTGAGTAGAAACAAAAGAAAAGAAAGTAGAGATGTGTATACTCACGGGAAGAGGGCATCCAACACTCTCTGGCCAGTGAGCAGGGGGTGATTGGCAGGTAGCTTCTCTGTGACCGGGCGAATCTGTCGCACTGGCCAGACCTGGATCATGGTAAACCTCTCCTTCAAACCCTCAAACTCCAGTTCCAGCACCACATCCTGCCGAAACACAGACACAATTGACCAAACAACAGAGACAAGACAATGGCATTATGCCATTCAGCTGTAAAGATGTTAGTAGGTGGGGGGTGACTCACACTTATGGCTGTGATGATACCAGTATGGGCAATATTTGTTTACATGGCAATTTAAAACATGAAGCAGACCAAACTCTTTGGTCCTTTAAAAACCTGCTGTATGTAACATTTGTTGTACTATAGTTTGGAAAATACTGTACATAAATGTGACTCTGGATGACAACATCATTATGTCTGTTTCCAACATTGGGGCTGTTTTCATAAAGAAGTTAAACCCATTCGTGTTTCGTTTCCTTGCCACAACACTAACGAGTATCGCGATACTGGTTTCGTCCCGGCTCTACTCACGTTGACATCATAGTTTCCAGGTGGGGCCACGTAGGTGACAGTGCCTCTGCTCCGGGGAGGGAGCATCAACTTGTGTTTGATCAGCGAGTTCTCAAACACTGTGCCGTAGATATCCCCACCTGTTATGTGACTGCCGGTCTGAGGCAGAGATGGACAGGGGGAGGGTGAGAACATAATATGTAGATTCAGGAGATGGATCATATTTCAGTGGAGACACATTCAAACACACCTTGCTTACTCACAAGGAAATACATTGTTTTCTTACTCTAAGACTCTGGCCAGGTGTAAACTCCCACTTGAGGTCACGGTTGAGGGCTCCAATGTTGACTCCTCTGGGGATGTAAATGCTTTGAGTGAGGTCATTGATGTCTTTGAGGGGCCGCTGGATGCCATCAAAGATGGACCCCATGATTCCCGGCCCCAACTCTACAGACAGGGGCTTTCCTGTCCGAAGGACAGGGTCTCCGACAGACACACCAGCTGTGGTGTACATTCAGGAAAACGAACAACATAGCCTAGTATATGCCAGACAAGAGGACAGGTTAGAATACATCAGAATGGAAGTACACAAGAGTAAGTGAACAGTCAACGGTTAGTGAAGGTGGGAGTAACTGTATGTCTAGCAGCAGAGCAGGTATGACTGGAAAGGATACAGGTCTCCTCGTAGACCTGAATGGTGGCCATGTCGCCCTCCAGCCTGATGATCTCTCCCACCAGCTCACTGTGGCCCACACGCACCAGCTCGTACATGGCCGCTCCTGCCATGGCGGTGGCCGTCACCACTGTTGATTAAACAGGTTAGACAAAAAAAACACACGACAGACAACATGTTATTTGAAAGTAGCAGGCAGTCTGGCTACATGGTCAAGTCTAAATAGATAATATTTTTGCCATATTGGAAAATAGCAGGCCAAATTGACCAGGTGCTATTAAAACGTTGGTAGCTCACTGAACTAAAGCCATAGGATCCTTGATTGGAACTGCAGACACTGACCTGGACCAGAAACTCCATGCACATATCCAAACTCGCTTTCCCGCTCTTCATCACGGATCTTAGGAAGCTTGGAAGTGTCCATCCTGAGCGTGTCTGCAAAGAGTACTGAGAGGAAAAACAGAGAGATCAATCATGCGACACATGACACTAGCTATATATTGATAAACTGTTAAAAATAAATGTAAGTACTTAATGAATATAATTCACCATAACCACACAGAATCAAAAGAAACATTTCATTCATTGGTTCTGTGACATGTAAGCTTGCTCAGTGCTAATACCTGGAGATCTTCGATACCATCTGCTTTACAAAAGCAGGAGAAAAACAACAAGCTAGGAAGCTAGCTAATTAGTCTCTACAGACCATATTACAACTACAAAAGTTATGAAATACAGTCTTAGTTTTAGTTGTTTATCACACAAACCATATACCGTAGCTACTAGCTAGATAGAGCTAAACTAAACGTAGAGTCAGGCAGGTGACAGTGACAGAACGGAAAGGTAACAACAGTTTGCTAGCTGGCTAAGGTTAGCTAATCTGCGTGGTTTATCATAGTTTACTAGCCAGTTGCAATGAATTGACAATAATGTTATCAAACTAAATTTGATTAATATGATTCGGTTTGATTACCTTCTCTTAGTATTCAATGGTCCAGGGCCCTTCAGAAATTTCTGTCGGATGAGGAGACTGATCAGCTGACAGACGCAAGACTATCGTGGGAAACAATCACCATTGTGGCTCGGAGGCCCTGGCTTACATTAGAAAAGACGAGCTCTGGGAGCCAAAATGGCGTAACAGCGCAACAGTTTCCTTACCCGTTCGGCTCTTTTAGTTCGAATGCGGCGGCGGCTACGTTCCAATATCATTGACGTTATTTCCTCGTCTCCTTTCCTCATTGACAAAGTTTACTTAGACACTCAGTCAAAATAAAGCTATTGCTTTGCAGTAGCAACACAGTCAAAATAAAGCTATTGCTTTGCAGTAGCAACACAGTCGAATGATATCCAATCACTTAGACCGTTTTTGCTGTGATAGGGCTAAACTTGGGCGATCTATTAGCCGAATAAACTGTCCAGTTAAGATTTTAAGATTAAATTGGCCTAACTATGCTAGGCTAATTAATCAGCAAAATAGCCTACATATCTATACACACACATATATCCATGTGCCCATACAGTATAGGCTAGCATCTGTAACGAATAGTCTAAAATTAGTGTGTCCCATGACACAAATTATGGAGAGAACAGATCCACATAGCAGAATGCACTCATGTTATGAAGCATCACACGGCGTGAATCCAATGGTAAGCCTTCATTTTACATAGCCTATCTATAGCTTCCCTGCATGATTTTATTAGCCTATTCTAGATATGTCTAGTTGCCCTTTTGAAATGGGAACAAGCACTGCGCTCATAACTTTTGATCGGTTTAAATAACCTAGTTGTCATAGGCCTAGCCTATGTGACAGTGATCCTAGCCTATCGCAGAAAGGGTGGTCGATTGAGCCTCATATGTTATTTATCATCTTTTAGGATTTATTTCCAGGTTATTTTGTAATAACAAACAATACGGACACAGGATTCGTCTCTCAAGTTGGAACGGGATGTGGACCGTGCGTTTTGCTGTTGGGGCTTTTATCAGTATGATTTTCCAAGTGGGCATGACGCAACAGTGGACGAATGGTGAGTATTGCCATGGTTGGAAGGACGCGCAATCTACCTGGCGAGGGGGTTTCCATTGTCCCGAGCGCCACGATCAAAGAGAAGCAGTGATCTGCTGTGGAACTTGTGAGCTGCGCTACTGTTGCGCACTCATAGGCGCAAGACTGGATCAGGGAAACTGCATCAACCACGAGCAAGTTCTACAGGCTGGCACGTCTGATGACGAGAAAGATGCCAAGATCGCAGGTAAGTTGTAGCTTTGGCTACTGAAATAGGAACACATACTTCAATTTTTATCCTTGCTTGGTTAATTATTCTTTTTCATAAAGGCCTAATGTGCTAGCTATAGAAGGCCTATACTTTTTAGGCAAAGCTACCTATTCCTTGATTACACACACAGTGAGATTCCTTATAAATGGTATTGATGAATGAGAAAGCCTAATGCAGTGTGTGCTTGAATCCAACCCACCAAATTTGCCTTAAAGTGTGGCCTCATGTCCAAGCATTTATTAAATTCTTCAACATGCAGTTAGCCTACTCCTCACATCACGAGAATCATGTTAAGACTTGATCTGCTGCCAAGAAGCTTTTCAATGAACCGTTTTTTTTCTTCATGTTTTGCACAGTTTAATACTTTTCTTGGAATATGAACACATCCCCAGCCTTGCTAGAACTGAAGAACAGGGGAGTCTAATTCAAGTGCATAGTGTATACAACTCCAAAATATTTACACAGGAAGGTCATCCTTAAAATGTATTTCTTTCCTTTCCACTCAATCAATCCTTCCACTCCTCCCCTGCCCTCTTTATTTTTGTGCTTTCTTTTCACTCTGTAGTACCTGTCTATGTTCCCTTTGTTATCGTGGGCTCTGTGTTTCTGGCCTTTATCTTTCTGGGCTCCATGGTGGCCATGGGTGTCTGTCTGAGTCGTAAACAGGAGATCTCCCAAAGCCCAGACGCTGGTCCCCAGGGTGGGAGTGGAGAGCAGCAGCAGGAGGTTGTACCCATGACTGTGAGTACAGGGACGTCCTGTGGTTCCACCTCATCTCTCTACCCTCCCAATGCCAGCCAAGCCTGTTCAACTGGACCCACACGTGTCCACCAAACCTTAAAGAGGCAGGAAACTCCCACCAGCCCACAACCCTCCATGGTCCAACCTTTTACCATGCACCCCTCCATGGTGTTTTCCACCCTGGTTCACCCCTCCATGCTTCATCATTCCATAATGCATCCTTATATGGCTCAAATGCCTACTCTGTATACCTCACAAGGGGAAAGCCGTCGTCTCCCATCTCCCTGCCCTCCATCCAGCTATACCAGCACTAAACCCAGGCACACTGAAGTGATCATATAATTTGTGACTTTGACTTTGAAAGAGTATTTGGGTAATCAAATAGGAAAATATGAATAAGCCCAGGAAATGTAATGTAAATGTGTGGCAGCCAGTTTAGACTAATAAAAATGTTTAGGAGAATAATTGCAATTGGTCAGTTACCAATAATTCAAACATTCATATTTTATTATTCCTTAAAATGTATAGTATTTCTTTGTAAATATCCTGTACTAATTTCTATAATTTACACAATTAAATTGTTGGACTTTTTCGGATGTTTTTTGTTGTTGTCCATAATATAGTTATATTAGGCCTACTGTTAAGTATTTCCGATGCAACAGCTACACTATGCACATAACCCTGTCACATAATAATAATAATTTAGTGGGGACTTATATTTTGTCCTATTTCACACATGTACAAGTGTGTATTAATAAGCATGAAGAGTTTGACATGACACCATGATTTAGGTGACATGATACTGTATCATGATATCATGACACCATCATTTACCACTTATTTTATCTAAAACATTCCTCAATGTGATCTCTATACATCAACAGAATTTACTCTGGTGGTTGCAGAGTTTATCATCAGGCCTTTCTCAGGGGCGCAACTTTGGTTTTAGAAGTGGGGGGGACATAAAGTCAGTTCAACCACCGTGCTGCTGAAGTGGCGACCAATCCTCTGTTTTAGTTCGCGCTGATCGCATTGCTGTCCATGGTTGCTGAATGTTTGCGCGGCTAGTTAGACGTCTCGTGCCAACTTCTGCTTTTACAATTTAAGTTAAAACATTGTTTTTACGTTTTTACTTCCCATTTTAAGACATGTTTTTATCCATAATTCCTTATGTCCATCTGAAGCATCTATCTTCAGCAGTATCTTTTTATGGAGACCGTTTTAGGCCTAGGTAATCAGACAGAATCAGAATCATGTTTATTGTCCTACAAGAGGAAAATCTTGGCATAGCTCACAAATGACACAAAACATATAGAAAACACAGCAGGAAACAAGCTAAAGTCAGACATAAGTAGTAGCAGGAAGCCACCCATAGCAGGAAGCTGCATGGAATTGGTAATGAAGCAAACATGGCTACCACAAGGGAACCTGAAGGATAATTGTGGGGTAATGGTGGTATAGGCCTAGCTATAATCATCACAGGGGGAAAAAAACTGTGATAAATGGAGGATACATGATATAGTGTCTTGGGGCTCAGTGTCATGGATAGCCTAATAGAGGTATTAGTGACTGGGGGTGTACATGGGTGCGGTGATAGTGATGTGTGAAAACATTGGGATCAACAGTGGCATTGTCCCCTGTAGCTCAGTTGGTAGAGCATGGCGCTTGCAACGCCAGGGTTGTGGGTTTGTTTCCCACGGGGGGCCAGTATGAAAATGTATACACTCACTAACTGTAAGTCGCTCTGGATAAGAGCGTCTGCTAAATGACTAAAATGTAAATGTAAATGTAAATGCATTGTCATTGAGGGTAAATACTGTATTACCCGACTGCTCGGAGGTGTCTACATGGTCCCAAAGCACACCATTGCCTAGTTTTGTATCACATTCCAATGATAAAACTGGGGGGGGGGGGGGATGCTAGTTCAGAATTTGGGGGGGACATGTCCCCCCTGTCCCCAGTGAAAGTTGCGCCCCTGCCTGGCTGGGACTACTTTGGCCCCATGGCTCTTCTGAGAGACAGAATCCAGCTGGACTAAAGAGAAGGAGAAACGAACAGAGAAAGGCATCCTTAGGCAAGCACTCACCTGTGTGCAATATTGAATTGCACTGGTTATATCAATTTAGTAGCAGGATAAGATTTTAAGAGAATGAGTATATGGTGATCTCCTTTCCAAAACTATAACGCTAATCATGCAATCTGAAAGATGAAAAATCTATCTTGTAATCACAAATTGTTATCTGACTGTAGAATTCCATCAAGCTCACTAATCGTGACAATTCTTTTCTCGTGTAGGCCTAGCTGAAATTAACTATTTGTAGAGCTGCCAGACACATGATTGAATGTGCCAAAAAAACAACAACTCGTAGGCCTAAAAGTAAGAAAATAGGTCGTCTGACAACGGGGTGTAGCCGTCGTGGTGGTGGGATGCCCGCTGTTGGCTGGTGTCATAAATGATCACCCCCTGGTTTAATCCGTTATCTTTTGAAACAATTAATTGACAATCCGAAAGGGGTCATATCTTCGAAGACACATTTTTCAGTGTTTATTTATACATTTCAGAAGAACTGGCCTAAACCAAAGTCACAAAGGCCTAATAATGCAATTTATGTAATGTAAGCTTGTGTTCAAAAATAGGGATTCTCGTCATCATCCCGAAAACTCACTCACGTCGCGCTGTCAAAATGCCCATGGTTGTCATGATGGATGTTTTTGGCGAACCTGATTGGACGACACAACTAAATCTGCTAATTAAATCTCTGAGCCTGGATGCTGATTTGTGCGGGAGATTGCTCCTCACAGAAAGAATCCTGGTGAGATGAGGGGACAGAATAGCAACTCTACTGGTGGACTGCAGCTGAAAACTCCTAAAAGGACACATTTGGTGAGCGTCCCGTCTTTATCATGTTGTTAATCATATCCCGATATCTTCCCTCCTTTGTTATGTCTGTTTAAGTGTATTATATGTAGGCTACTACAATTAGGGTGCTGCTATTTAAAACCCTCGGTCACTCACGGATCACAGACGACTATTCTTCGGTCCATCTGGAGTTGCAGGCACTTAATTGTTACAATCAAGATAAGGTATCCCTCTAAAGTGGTTTGAAACAAACAGTGCGCTGTTCGCTCAGTTGATACTGTTATACTTATTGGCTCTTCTAATCACCTCAGAGCATCTGGTTGGGACAACCTTGCTATTCTTGCATGCTTAATTGCTAAATCTGTAGGATGCTTGCTCAAGGCTGTAGGATGCTTTGGATTCATGGTTTGTTGATAAATGTGTGCTCAAGCTTGCCATGATGATCAAGCCCACAGGGCACAGACGTCAATTCAACGTATATTCTATGTTCGTTCAACGTAATTTTATTGAAATGTTTTTTAAAAAATTTTTATTGGATGGTGAGTTTAACATTGCTGAGGTTCCTCCCAGTCTTGCATGGCATGTGTCACCATTCATAATATGTTGCACAGCAAGGCCCCTAACTTAAATTTAGCATAATTCTACTTCAAATAAGACTACATTCATATATACTTCCCTTATATAAGCCAAATAATAATTTATAATAGCAAAGGTTCAAAAATGATTCAACAGTTGCATTAGTATGCTTGCCTTGACTGAAAGCTAAAACCTGTGTCTCCCAGAGGTAACACATAGGCTTTAGCTCAGTTGACTATACAACACAATATTGAAATACCAAAAAAACTGGGTTTGATACCAGGTTGTTTACAAAAAGCATAGTTTGAGCCTATAGTCACTCAGGGGGACCCCTTGTGATTATGTGTAAATTAATGTATTTTCCTGCAGTTAAATGTCTGGAAACAAGTCTTGATTGGCTGTTTCAGGGTCTAATACAATGAATTGCCTCTCTAAGGAATTTTCCATGAATGAAATGAAAGGCTCTGGGGTGACGTAAAGAGTAGTTATATTATTTATTATTTAGTTTGTTCCATGATGAAACTTGTATGTGCTCTGATGGCATTACATAAAGACGAATGGGATTTGGTTAGTAATATAATCCGGAGAGGTTTGAGTCGACTGCCTCTGTCTCATGCCTTAATCTGGTCTGAATTGTCTGTTTGTGTCTAATGGAACATGGAGGTTATTGTCAGTGGCTGTGTGTCCCAGCAGGTGGTGTGTGGCGTGGTGTGAGGGGAGATCATGCCCCTGGTCAAGAGGAACATAGAGCCCCGGAACCTCTGCCGCGGGGCGCTGCCCAAGGGGATTGGCAGTGAGCTGGAGTGCGTCACCAACAACAGTCTGTCTGCCATCATACGTCAGCTCAGCAGTCTAAGTAAGACACACCTTCCACACAGTCACACCCCCTCGTTATGTACATTAAGTAATCACCTATCATTTAACCAGATTTATGCATCCATCCTCCAGAATGGTGACCTATACACCCACATCCCTCAGTGTTACACTGGAAAAATGACCAGCTTATGCAGATAAATTAACTCAGTGCATTTAAATGTTTTTAATGATTGGAATCTATTTGGTAAAATACATGTTGATATTGACAGATGTGTGTGTGTGTGTGTGTTTTAGTGTGGGGAGGGATAGAGAGAATTAGAGGATGAGACATCTGGTCCATACATACCCATATTACTGTGTCTGTGTGGGTTGGGATTGTATGAAGTCACTGGAGATTAGAGCTTACTGTAGAGCTTAGTTTCACAGAAGCAAATAAAGGAGTGAGGGAGAGAGGGACAGAGAGAGAGAAAGAAAGAGATTGTGCTCTTGTCTCAGCGTTTTGACAAATCTCAATAATTTGGTTGGTTGGAAATCTCCATCACTAAGTTGCTCCTGTCTGTTCAACTTGACCTCAACTTATCTCTTTGCTCTTTTCTGTGTAGTATGAAGTGTACTTCTCCAATCATCTTGTCTGACCAGTTGGACACGGTGAAAGTCTGTAGTAATGACTACTCTCTGTCCTCATGCTTCAGGTAAACATGCAGAGGACGTCTTTGGAGAGCTGTTTAGTGAGGCTAACACCTTTTACGTGCGTGCAAACGGTCTCCAAGACCGCATCGACCGCTTGGCTGTCAAGGTCACCCAGCTGGATTCCACTGTGGAAGAGGGTCAGTTGGGGTCAGGGGTCAGGGGATAAGGGAAAAAAAGAATAATCTTCTCTGTAATGTTGAAAGAGAAGAACCGACTCATTAGTTGTCCTCCTTGTCTCTGGTTCTGCATGGCCCATAATCTACTTATCTCAGTATCTTCTTATTGCTTACCTTTCTATCAATCTCACATGCTCTGTTTTGCTCTCCAGTCTCTCTGCAGGACATCAACATGAGGAAGGCGTTTAAGTGTTCCACAGTCCAGGACCAGCAGGTGGTGTCCAAAAGCAGCACATCCAACCCTGTGGCGGAGATGTACAACACCAGCGACAAGCCTCCTCCTCTCAGCATCCTCTCTGCCTACAGGTTTGTGTGGATGCATCACAATCACCAGACGAGCTTTAACCTCCAGTCGTGACGTATAGCTAACTAGTCTCTCTTTTGACACAGAGATGACCACACTGATGGGATGAAGTTCTACACAGACCCGTCCTACTTCTTTGACCTGTGGAGAGAGAAGATGCTGCAGGACACGGAGGATAAGAGGAAGGAGAGAAGAAGACAACGGGTGAGAGACTCTTAATATCTCACTTTAAACAGCTCATTTCTTCTTAGCAACTTGTGTAGACAATATCCTGTATAACTCCACACCTATTTGCAAAATGACCTCGCTCTCTCTCTCAGGAGCAGAAGCGATGTGTTGACGGCACACTTCAGCGTGAGGTGAAGAAGGTTCGTAAAGCCCGAAACCGCCGTCACGAGTGGAACATGATGGCGTTCGACAAAGAGCTTCGCCCAGACCATCGCCACCCTCACTCTCTCCACCGGGGGGCGTCGTCTGAGGGCTCCCTCTCCCCGGAGAGCAGGTCAGTGGTTCCTTCCCCCAATTAGGACTATATTCATCTCTCCTGAGCAAAGGCTTCCTTCACCATTTGCTTTCCAAATGGCATATTAAAATATTATCAGTGTAAAGAGTTAATAATAATGACTTTTAATGTTGACTAGATATGATCTGCCAGACTACCCAACTGCTCCAGGCCTTCCCCATGCTACATCCAACCACACCCTGGCTCACCCCTACCAGCCTGCAGACATCCATGAGTCTGTGGAGCATGAGTACCACAGCATCGGCGTCAGCTACAGAGAGGGGACTCTCAATCGCACACACCACCCCACCCCTCTGCATCATTCCACTGAGAGAATGAATGGCACTATAACGCTTCCACCTGCAGACTACAGGTATTGTGACTGTAACAATAAGAAATCTGTAATATAGGTTAGTGAATCTGATTTGTTTATGCTAATTGTTCTAAAACTGAAAACCTTCTCTCTATCTTTCTCTCTCAGTATAATGGAGTACTGTGCCAGTTCCGGAACACCACCTCCTCCCCCAGCCCCTCTTATCCCATCTGCAGAGACAGCCTTTGGCTCTCCCATGGTATCCCCCACCCCCCTTACTGGATCCTCAGGCTATTGTCTCCCAATGCTATCTCCCCCAGGACCCCGTATGATTCCACCTCCCCCAGGTCCACCCCCACCACCAGTCCCTCCCGCCCCACCCCAACTGGCAGGACTCAGTGATCGGAAGAGACAGGACACCCAGCCTGTCACTGGTACTCGAAGTGACCTTCTGTCAGCAATTCGCATGGGTAAGTTTAGCTGTACTTAGATGTTTACCTATCTTCTGGAGACAGCAGAGGTTATTTTTTTTAATACAAAGTATTTGCACAGAAGTTCATGTTTAGACTGTTTGTGAATGTCTCTTGTGTGTGGGTCTGTTTGTGTGGGTCTGTTTGTGTGGGTCTGGGTCTGTGTGGGTCTGTTTGTGTGTGTGTGTGTGTGTGTGTGTGTGTGTGTGTGTGTGTGTGTGTGTGTGTGTTTCTCAGGCATCCAGCTGAAGAAGGGGCAGGAGCAGCAGGAGCAGCAGGCCAAGCGGGAGCCTGTGGGGAACGACGTGGCCACCATCCTGTCCCGACGCATCGCAGTGGACTACAGCGACTCAGAGGACGATTCCGAACTGGAGGACAACGACTGGTCAGACTGACCCTGACTCCGCCCCTGACTCCGCCCCACACTGTGACCTCACACCATGGACACATCTCTCCTCCAGCCCAACTATCCCACAACGGTGATGTGGTACAGCTGTGCAGATGAATTATGGGAGTCTCGTATGCAGTATGCGGTCAGGGACACTGTTTTTACAGACCAATGACCATATTATGGTTAATAATGATAAGTGGGCATAGGCTGAGGACCCACTTGCATTTTAATGTTAGCCATTGTGTCCAGTAGGTGAATGGACTTCAAATTAAGGCAAATTAGTTTCCTGATGAACTGAGATTCAGCTGAAATCACTCAAAGGTATGCGGACCAAATAACCAAGTGGTGAATTTCCCCCTTTCCCTACTGTACCTACAGAGCTGTCAGCTCTCTTTATCAGACACCAACATGATCATTTCATCTAAATACATCACCAACACTATACTCTCAATGTCACTTATCATCATTTGATTTTATCTGAATTCGTGATCTTCTTTTGATTACTCCCATGATGTCTGTGTCACGACCTGTGTGAAGGTAAATGTGTACACTCCTGATGCATAAGACAATTACAGCATTAGGGTACTTATTGTCTTACCGGTATGCCCTTGAAAATGTTGAAGTCAATTAAATTCCAACTATATTCCAACATACTTAGCTGATCTTCATGTGACTTCTCATCACCTCTGAACTTTCTCTTAGTCAACGATTAGAAAGATTTGAAAAAATAAAAAAATATAATGTATGCACTCACTAACTGTAAGTCGCTCTGGAGAAGAGCGTCTGCTAAATGACTAAAATGTAAATGTAAATTTGAGGTTCTCTGTAGCATAGGAGACCGTCTCTGAACAGACATAGCGGTACGTTCCAGCTCGACTGTGTTTAAAATGAGTTGGAGTGCAACCAATGACACAAATTATGAATTGCTTGTCAATGGAAACATCTTCTTCTTCAAATGTATTCTAGCGCTATATTTAAGATGACTCCTGAGTGGCACTGTGCTCACGTTTTAATGTACCTTATTATACTGAACAAAAATATAAACGCAACAGGCAACAATTTCAAAGATTTTACTGAGTTTCAGTTCATAAGGAAATCAGTCAATTGAAATACAGTTGAAGTCGGAAGTTTACATACACCTTAGCCAAATACATTTAAACTCAGTTTTTCACAATTACTGACATTTAATCCTAGTAAAAATGCCCTGTCTTAGGTCAGTTAGGATCACCACTTTATTTTAAGAATGTGAAATGTCAGAATAATAGTAGAGAGAATAATTTATTTCAGCTTTTATTTCTTTCATCACATTCCCAGTGGGTCAGAAGTTTACATACACTCAATTAGTATTTGGTAGCATTGCCTTTAAATTGTTTAACTTGGGTCAAACGTTTCGGGTAGCCTTCCACAAGCTTCCCACAATAAGTTGGGTGAATTTTGGCCCATTCCTCCTGACAGAGCTGGTGTAACTGAGTCAGGTTTGTAGGCCTCCTTGCTCACACACGCTTTTTCAGTTCTGCCCACAAACTTTCTATAGGATTGAGGTCAGGGCTTTGTGATGGCCACTCCAATACCTTGACTTTGTTGTCCTTAAGCCATTTTGCCACAACTTTGGAAGTATGCTTGGGGTCATTGTCCATTTGGAAGACCCATTTGCGACCAAGCTTTAACTTCCTGACTGATGTCTTGAGATGTTGCTTCAATATATCCACATAATTTTCCTTCCTCATGATGCCATCTATTTTGTGAAGTGCACCAGTCCCTCCTGCAGCAAAGCACCCACACAGCATGATGCTGCCACCTCCGTACTTCACGGTTGGGATGGTTATCTTCGGCTTGCAAGCCCCCCCTTTTTCCTCCAAACATTATTGCCAAACAGTTCTATTTTTGTTTCATCAGACCAGAGGACATTTCTCCAAAAAGTACGATCTTTGCCCCCATGTGCAGTTGCAAACCTTAGTCTGGCTTTTTTATGGCGGTTTTGGAGCAGTGGCTTCTTCCTTGCTGAGCGGCCTTTCAGGTTATGTCGATATACAGTGGGGAAAAAAAGTATTTAGTCACCCACCAGTGTGCAGTTCTCCACAGAGAGGCTGTAATTCTCATAGGTACCGTCAACTGACAGCTGAGGAAAAAATCCTTCAATTGTGGATTTTTAGAATTTATTTGCAAATTATGTGGAAATAAGTTTGGCCCTAAACAAGCAAGATTCGGCTCCACAGACCGTAACTTCTTCTTTAGAGGCTCCTGACTCCACTCGTTACTGTATTAATGGCACCTGTTTGAATTGTACCATATAAAGACACTGTCCACAACCTCAACAGTACACTCCAACTCCCTATGGCCAAGACCAAAGAGCGTCAAAGGACACCAGAAACAAAATTGTAGACCTGCACCAGGCTGGGAAGACTGAATCTGCAATAGGTAAGCAGCTTGGTTTGAAGAAATCAACTGTGGGAGCAATTATTAGGAAATGGAAGACATACAAGACCACTGATAATCTCCCTCGATCTGGGGCTCCACGCAAGATCTCACCCCGTGGGGTCAAAATGATCACAAGAACGGTGAGCAAAAATCCCAGAACCACACGGGGGGACCTAGTGAATGACCTGCAGAGAGCTGAGACCAAAGTAACAAAGCCTACCATCAGTAACACACTACGCCGCCAGGGACTCAAATCCTGCAGTGCCAGACGTGTCCCCCTGCTTAAGCCAGTACATGTCCAGGCCCGTCTGAAGTTTGCAAGAGTGCATTTGGATGATCCAGAAGAGGATTGGGAAAATGTCATATGGTCAGATGAAACCAAAATAAAACTTTTTGGTAAAAACTCAACTCGTCGTGTTTGGAGGACAAAGAATGCTGAGTTGCATCCAAAGAACACCATACCTACTGTGAAGCATGGGGGTGGAAACATCATGCTTTGGGGCCGTTTTTCTGCAAAGGGACCAGGACGACTGATCCGTGTAAAGGAAAGAATGAATGGGGCCATGTATCGTGAGATTTTGAGTGAAAACCTCCTTCCATCAGCAAGGGCATTGAAGATGAAACTTAGCTGGGTCTTTCAGCATGACAATGATCCCAAACACACCGCCCGGGCAACGAAGGAGTGGCTTCGTAAGAAGCATTTCAAGGTCCTGGAGTGGCCTAGCCAGTCTCCAGATCTCAACCCCATAGAAAATCTTTGGAGGGAGTTGAAAGTCTGTGTTGCCCAGCGACAGCCCCAAAACATCACTGCTCTAGAGGAGATCTGCATGGAGGAATGGGCCAAAATACCAGCAACAGTGTGTGAAAACCTTGTGAAGACTTACAGAAAACGTTTGACCTGTGTCATTGCCAACAAAGGGTATATAACAAAGTATTGAGAAACTTACAGGCCTCTCTCAAGGACTCGTTTTACTGTGGATAAAAATATAGATACTTTTGTACCTGTTTCCTCCAGCATCTTCACAAGGTATTTTGCTGTTGTTCTGGGATTGATTTGCACTTTTCGCACCAAACTACGTTAATTTCTAGGAGACAGAACGCGTCTCCTTCCTGAGTGGTATGACGGCTGCGTGGTCCCATGGTGTTTATACTTGCGTGCTATCGTTTGTACAGATGAACGTGGTACCTTCAGGTGTTTGGAAATTACTCCCAAGGATGAACCAGACTTGTGGAGGTCTACAATTTTTATTCTGAGGTCTTGGCTGATTTCTTTTGATTTTCCCATGATGTCAAGCAAAGAGGCACTGAGTTTGAAGGTAGGCCTTGAAATACATCCACAGGTACACCTCCAATTGACTCAAATTATGTCAATTAGACATCATCTTCTGGAATTTCCCAAGCTGTTTAAAGGCAGTCAACTTAGTGTATGTAAACTTTTGACTCACTGGAATTGTGATACAGTGAATTATAAGTGAAATAATCTGTCTGTAAACAATTGTTGGAAAAATTACTTGTGTCATGCACAAAGTAGATGTCCTAAACGACTTGCCAAAACTATAGTTTGTTAACAAGAAATGTGTGGAGTGGTTGAAAAACGAGTTTTAATGACTCCAGCCTAAGTGTATGTAAACTTCTGACTTCAACTGTAAATTCCTTAGGCCCTAATCTATGGATTTCATGTGACTGTGAATACTGTCTGTTGGTCACAGATACCTTAAACAAGATAGGGGCGTGGATTAGAAAACCAGTCAGTATCTGGTGTGACCACCATTTGCCTCATGCAACTCGACATCTCCTTTGCATAGAGTTGATCAGGCGGTTGATTGTGGCCTGTGGAATGTTGTCCCACTCCTCTTCAATGGCTGTGCGAGTTGCTGAATATTGGCGGGAACTGGATCACGCTGTCGATCCAGAGCATCCCAAACATGCTCAATGGGTGACATCATGTCTGGTGAGTATGCAGGCCATGGAAGAACTGGGACATTTTCAGCTTCCAGAAATTGTGTACAGATCCTTGCGATATAGGGCCGTGCATTATCATGCTGAAACTTGGTGATGGTGGCGGATGAATGGCACGACAATGGGCCTCAGGATCTCGTCACGGTACCTCTGAGAATTCAAATAGCCATCGATAAAATGCAATTGTTCGTTGTCCATAGCTTA